GGGAATCAACAGCTGTCTTCTCAAATCAGGCCATATTGGACGATAGCTCAATAAGGCTGACCAACCAATTGATTTTGAAAAGAATAACTGAAAAAGTTGAGAGAAGCTGAACTTAAAATTTTATATTCAATTATATATCATCTGTAAAAAAAACACCCAGTACTGCCACATTATGGCAGATTTATACGCACGTATGCGTGCACGGATGTTTGTGCTGCATGCATGTACAGAGTTTGAAGTGGCCACACCCAAAACAATCAAATCTTTGCTCCATACATGCAGTGTTTCTCCTACTGCACATAAGGACACAGTCATGTAAATATTTGTGCAATTTTATTTATATAACATGACATAAAATTCAGAAAGCTACTAAAGGTAATTATAATAATTACTGCAACCTTGCTTCTGCTGATTTACAGAGTACGAACTAGGCTTTCTACTCTGTAGTAACGCTACTGTCAGACCCAAGAAGGTTTTGACTGAAACACCACTTCTGTTATCCAGCCTCCTGTGCAAAGTCCACATCAAGAACCTCATCTAGTAATGATGTATATATAGTTACAGTCTGGGAAAAAAGGGAAGATGGGAAGATAGTTTCCCTACATACAATTCAACAATTATGAATGAAATCCTAGTCTACCGCATACAAAGCAGTTAATGCTGTTAGGCTGCATTTCACCAGGCAGTCTTTTAACAAATGTTTTAACAATCTATCCCCAACAACACTGCCATGAAGCAAGGAGCAGCTTTCTTCTAATGACATCCCTGCATGCAAGAAGCACGCTATCTCTGCTATACCTACTACGCTGGCAGCAACTCTACTTATGCATGTCTTCATCTGTAGACACAGAACCTCTCACAGAGGATGATGAAGTAAATCACTTCAGTTGAAAACAAGTTATTAACAGCTTAATTACATACGCAAGTTTTTCATATTTTCTTTTTGGAAAAAGCTTAGTAGGAGATGATGATTAGTCTCTGTTAATTTGCCCCATAAAAGGTTTCATGGATAATCATATGCATTCGTAATATGCTAGGTTCTGAAGTAATTAAATAGAACCATTAAGATGTCTGGGTAGAAGGATACCTAAACTTTGCAGGAACTTTATACTATTTGCTTTTGCTTGGTAGAGGACTGGTTAAGATAGTTTTTTTCCATAAAATGATTCTTCCTATAGAAAAGAGTTTTGAAGCTTTATGGGTTTTGTTATCATTTTCACAAAGTCTAAAAAAGCATTTCCAGTTGTGAAACCTTAAAACATGAAAGAGATAATCTTCACAATATCTTCCACAGGAAGAGGAATCATTTCTCTGACAACTGCACTTGTGAGATTGGGGAAAGTAGACGAGATGAGAAGTTGCAAGGAATCCAGGCTAGTGAAAAAAAAAAAAAAAAGAAAAAAAAAACTGCATAAAATGAAAAAAACCTTAAAGCTCAAAAAGTGCTTTCAGATTAATTTGTCAGTCCTTCATTCAATTCACCATTTTCAAATGCTGCCGAATTCTCACATCAACTTGGATGTAGAAATTAACAAGTGAAATCCTTAACCTGAGTTCTCCAGACGACTAAACCAGGTATTAATAAAGATTCCCTTGGAGCCTGGTAAAAGTCTATGAATCCATATTAACCGTAGAATCCCCTTAATAAAATAGTAGTTACTGCACAAGCATAGGCTTTTTCAGACACCTATTATACGAGAACTCCAACAGTCCCAGCAGGTGGATGTCATCACAGTGACTGCACACAGACATATATTCCAACATATCTGTTGATACCATTGTTAAGGCGATACTCTGTTATACTGACATTCAGAACAGCATGATTTCTCAGGCACAGAGATGACCACAACTACAGAATAATGTAGAGAGAACAAGCTAGGCAGGGATAGGTCACATTTAACTGTAATACTTTGACTTCCTCTTTGCAAAGTAAGATACAGTGTTAAGACCACAGAGACAAACACATAGCATCAAAGTTTAACCTGTTAATATAAAACACCAGAGCTTTGTAAACAAACAAGCAAAAAAATTCTTACAGAATAGTCCTAGCAGAACTGCTAGCCAGCTCTACTCTTCCCTTTCCTAGGGTCACACTGCAGCCACAGCACACAAATCCCATGCATAAAGAACACTTAACCTCAATGTGCTCATGATCAACATTAACAGTAATGTTTCCCTTATCCAGCCCTGGACAGACTGCAGCAGGGTTTTCTGTGTGTACTCCAAGAAAGCTTTTCAGTGTATGGACAACAGAAGCAAAAGGAGCTCCATAAATATTACATTTGCCATAAATGTTGCGTTTCCCTTTCTCCAGTCATTGACTTAATAGATGCAATTGTATTCAAACTAGGGGAATTCAAGGATTAATTTTAAGCTTAAGAAAGTGATTTGTTTTGTACAGATACATGTCATAACACATCTTGAAGTCACTCCTATTTTCCAGATTGAAAAAAAGGAGTCAAAACATTGCTTCCTCCAGCCCTGTACCAGCATCAAAGATCTCCATGAGCAGAATCAACAATAAAATGTTTTCCACCAAATCTGCAGGCAAAAAAAGCTTCACTGTTTACCACCTTGTGGCTTGAACTGGTAAATATTCCCTTCTTACACACACAGTTTCATCATTTTATGGTTAACTAGCCTCTTAAGCAGCAGGCACAGAAACTTTTTTCAAAGTTCCTCCCCAAAGGAAAATTGAAGACCATATGCTTTCAGCGAGACTGACACCAAGCCCAAGCTGCCCTGATTGATGGGGCAGTTGAGAATGCCAGGACTGCCTGTCCAGCTTCCAAACAGCTCTGAACATCAGACAAGCAGCAACCAGTTGCCCAAGCTGCATCTCTCTTCCACCCACATCTTCTAAAAGCCAGCAGCCACCCATTGAAAGGATGCTACCGTCAAACGGAACAAACAAGAAGTATGTGGTAACCGAAGTACGGGGTAAACGAAGAAGTACTTACATCCCTGAATTTGTTCCAGTACTTGTCTTTATCGTACTGCGAAACGGTGCTCAGCCATTTGTCGTTGTCCAGGAAATTGCCATGGTTGCTGTTACTCGTGATGATTTCAGGATGCCGGCTCTCCACTTGCAGGAAGCACCAGGCAGCGATTACCAGCACCCCCGACATCTGCAAGGAGAGGAGAGGAAAGGAGCGGGGCGGCCAGGCGGCAGTGGGCGCGGCTCTCTCGGGCAGGGAACTTTGCGGGGACCCGAGTTCGGGCTGGTCTCCCCTCACGCCCCTCGCCAACTTCTGGCTGCGGAGCTGCCAGGTCCGCTGAGACCCACCCTGCCCGCCCAGCCTGCAGGGGCGGGGAACACCACCAACAGTCACAAAAATAAAACAGGTCACCTGGGGCCGAGCAGAGACACCAGCCAGGGGAAAACACAGCGTTACGAAACCCCAATAAAGCCTCCCGCGGGA